TACACTCTGAGTAGCTGGAGGATGAGGTGCCCGCCCTGGCCACTGGAAGGAGTGGGGCTCCTTCTGGCTGCAGTCCGGTATGTCCAGGCGTGGGTCTCGGCTCAGCCTCACAGACCCGTGTGGCCTTGGGCAAGTTGCTTGACTCCTGAGTCTGTTCCCTCATCTTAAAAAGGGGGTGTTGTGAGAATTAAGTGAGAGGAGTAGAAAGTGCTCAGCAAGTCCTAACACGTAAGAAGCACTTGAACCCGCTGTGATTTCTTGTCCTGGGTCTGTGCTCTGAGGAAAGGCAGCCCTTCCCCTGTGCTTTAGGGCTTCTGAGCTGGAGGGACTTGGAGAATCTTCTCAAGATGCGATGCAGAAAGTGAGACCCAGAAAAGGACTGGACCTGCCTAAGGGCACACAGTATGGGGTGGCTAAGTGGGGACCGGGGTTCTGGGATCTGACGGCACAGGCCAAGATTTGAATGCTGAGACCTGGAATGTTCCAGGTTCATAGTACTGTCCATCTAGGTGCTTTTGCCTTCTTACCCAGTGGCGGGTAGGGGCCTGGGCTCGGAGGGCAGCACGGTGACAGGACAGTCCCCAACGGGCACAGGCTCAGGCCCCAGGCCCTCTTCCTGTCCTACATCGGCGCCACCCTGGCGCCAGGGGCCTTCCTCCCGCTCACTCTCCCCATTCCCTGAACAATGAGTGACCCAGGTGTTCAAAAGGATCTGCTTCTGACAATGAGCAACGTCCTCCCGCCCAATAATTCTAACTCCAGCTGGGATTATATGTATATATGTATGTTCCCTGATAACACGTGTGCAGCTGTGGACGGCATGGGCATGTGCACTGATTCCCCAAGACCAAGCCTTGAGTGTCCTCCCAAGAACAGGGTGCCCTGGATCTTGAGCTGGCGTCTCAGACACGACAAATTAGGCGTTTTCTCTCCCCACGGGGCAAAATTCTGTGGACCCTTGGCCTACCCCTGTCTGGCTCTTTTGTTGAAACTGAACACCCTCCTCCGCTCCCCCCAAACCTGAATCCTAGCCTCTCGTTTTTTTTTTTTTTTACTGAAAGAGGAAGAGGTTCTTCTGGGGTATGTGAGGGGTTGGGGATTGAGCAATGCCCCTCCTCCCACTACCTCTGAACCCCAGTTCTCTCCGTGTCCTCCTGTGCGTTCTAAGAAAATTGTTTCTAGGGCTGAAAAGCCCCGCCCACTGCTCTCTGGGTAGTTCTGTGATCCTTCCCACCATCGCTAGGACCCTGAGGGCGCCGGGCCTGATACCCTCATAGGAGGTCCTGCTGCTTGTTCCCACCCAGCCCCGCCCCACTCCACCCCAAGCTCACCCCACCTTGCCTACGTTTCAGCCCCGCCCCACCCACGACTCTGCTCCTTTAGCGGTCCCCACCCAGCTCAGCTCTGTGCTCCACTTCTTGCGTCCACTTCTACTCTGCCTGTCCCCTGCCCCTGCTTCAGATGTATGGCCCCACCCACTGAGCCAGCCCTCCCGAGAGCCCCCAGGGTGTGTGAGCGCCTGCAAATGCTGCTGGATCTGGCTTCACTTCCCAGCCTGGGGTAGTTCTGGGGCTGGAGGTGATGTTGGGAAAATGGATCACAGGGCACCAGCTGGGAGAGGTGCTGGGAGAGGTGCTGGTAGGAGCTGCTACATGGCCTGCTGCCTGCTGGGGATGGTGGGGGCCCAAGGCAGAGGAAACCCCGGAGTCCACTCTGTGGGTGCTTTTGCTGTTGTTGTTATTCTTTCTGAGAGTGCCCGGAAAGGTCCCTTCCCTAGTCACTCCCCACCTCCACGTACTAGCACAGCTGCAGCTCTGAGGTCACCCTCTCGCCACCCGCACAGGCCTGTGAGGGGGAGTCCAGACTGTCAGGGGCACAGCTGGGTGTCTGGGGCTCCTCTCCCATCAGGTCTGCTGTGGAGGTAAGAGTTATGGGTAGGCAGTTGGAGAACACTTGGTTAGTCCCTGCTCTGCCAGATTTCTGCTGGGGACCTTGGGTGGGTCATCTCCTCTCTGAGCTTTAGGGTCACCTCTGTAGGGGGATGGGCTTGGGCAGTAGAGTCCCTCACTGGCTAGACCAAGGAGCCACACTCATGGACCACAAACTCCAATGTCCCTAGGGCCAAGTAAATATGGGGAGAGAGTGAAGCAGGCCAGGTACAATATTAGGGAGTAGTGAGGACTGCGGCAAACTGGAATACTGATGCACCATCTAAATGGGAGGCTGCTACTCAGCTCTAGCTGATAATAATCCTGTAGGAAAGCTGGTTTTGAGTTAATTTCCTGATTTTCAAAGGGAAGCTAAGAGTCTGAATTTTCATAAAATTGCAGGTTTTTAAATGTTGACAATCTCAAAAAAAATGCGAAAAACATTGAGGGTCAAACAAAATCTGATTGAAGGCCAGATGTGGCCTGTGGGTTGCCAGTTTCTGAAATTTTTTTTTTTCTCCAATGTAGTGTCCAATTGCCTGAATTTTAATTCTGGCTCTTGTGCTTACTTACTGTGTGATCTTTAGTGAGTTACTTAACATCTCTGTGCCTCAGTTTCCCTATCAGTGAAACAGGAAAAAACCCAACACCCATTTTACAGGATTGATGGACATAAAACACCTAGCATGGCACACAGTACACTCCATTTCTTCTAATTCTAACTAGATCCTGCTTTACCTGAAGCCCCCGTTCTCCAGGTTCTGGGTTCACACCCTCTGGAACTTCAGGAGAACTACTTTCCTTTTCTGGGCCTTTGTACTTCTGCCTGAAAAGGAGGCCAGCATTTTGCCAAAGATGTTCTGAAATCTCTGCTGACCTTAGCAATGGCATCGTTTATATCTGGGGCTCCCAGACATGGTTGCCTCTCACTTGGGGGTGGTGACTGGGAGGCCCCAGTGTGTTCTGTCTTCTTTACCTCCTGGGGCCTAAAACTCTACCCGCGCAGACATGGTCTTTGGGGCCACGCTTTTCTCTTTCCACACACTCTGCTTTAAATACGCAGGGCTCCAAGACTGGATCATGTGCTGTTCATTATCCGTCTTTCACACCTTAGTGGGAGAGACTTTGAAGCTGGCTTTTCCATTCTATTGTGCAGAACTATCTTCCACTCCTAGGAACTGTTTGTTCAATTGCTGAAACGAATCAGAGACCCCTCTAGCTCCCATGCATCGAGCACCAATTCCTAGCAAGGCCCTTTCAAACACTTCATGTAAATTGTGTGTAATTCTTTTCTTTTCTAGAGGGGGAGGGAGGGAGAAAGAGAGGGAGAGAAACATCCATCGGTTGTCTCTTGCACACCCCCAACTGGGGCCCTGGCCTGTGCCCTGACTGGGAACCAAACCTGCGACCTTTCGGTTCCCAGGCGCGGGCCTGGGCTCAGTCCACTGAGCCACGCTAGCCAAGGGCAATTATGTGTAATTCTTGCCTCAGCTCCAGCAGGTGGATATTCTCATGTTTGGTTTTGAAATGAGGAGTCCAAGCCTTAGAGTTTAAGTAACTCATAGTTATTGGACTCCAGTGCACGCTGGTCCAATTCCAAAGCCTCATCCCCCCTCATCCCCCGACTGGGCAGGGCCTTCAGAGCTGCAGGCGGGCCTCAGGCTCTGCAGGCAGGGGAGGGGCCTCTGAAGGAAGTGGTGTTTTCTTGGGTTCAGGCAATGGCGACGAAAAGGACATACCTGTTTGGATTCTATACATATTCCCAAACTCTCCTTCCTTGTCTGCTTGACTCGCAACTGCCCCTGGGATGCCAGTGAAAATGTCACTAACATATAATAATCATAGCTTTCCTCTCTCTGTCTGCAGAGGGCATTAGCACTCACAGCTCGTGTCCTCATCTTCCCCCCTTCAGCCCTTTCACAGCCGTGTGTTACTGTAGGTGACATGTTCTCTCACACACGAGGAGACCGAGGCTCCTACAGCGGGTAGCGGGCCCTCCAGCCCCGGCATTCCCTCTTCAGGGGCCAGTGCTTTTAAGAGTCAACACAGTTCGATGCTGAAGGGTGTGGGGTAAGGGAAAGAGGAGCAGGGATTACATCCTTGGCTTACTGAAAGCAAAGTGAACTAGAAAATATGTCTGCGAAGACTGGGTGCGTGGGTGAGATGGAAACGCATTCCCGGTCTCTGACCCTGAGACACCACCTGGCCTGGGCCAGCCTCTCTGCTCCCTGAAACCCTGTCTGTCCGTCAATCTCAAAGGCCCTCCATCCTTCAAGAAGTCTCCTAACCATCCCCAGGAGGGCTATGTCCACTTTCCTACAAGTGCCCTGAGGTTGGCACCAGTTTGCCCTTTAGCCAGTGGGGTAACTTGGTTGCGCACGCAGGCCTTGTCTGCCCACCTAGGTTGTAAGCTCCCCAGGGGAGGCCGCCTGTTCAGCCTACAGATGAGATGCAGCACCTGGCATAGGCCTCCACACCTAGGAGTTCCATTAGTGCTCAGTGATGAGGTGGGAAGGCATGCCGGCCTCGGGAGGGGGAAGGGTCAACGGTGTTGACAGCCCCCAGAAGACTGGTCCAGGACAAAGGGCTGCTGTTCCCAAACAGCCTTTCTGCTTCCTATCCTGCCTCTCTTCTAACCTCCCACCTATCACTGCTGGGCGTGGAGGTCAGAAGTGCCTGGGACCAGCCATAGGCAGAGCTGCAGTGCCTGCGGGGGGGCGGGGCGCGGGAGCTGGAGCCAGGGAGCATGCTCCACCTGGGAGATGGACGCGTGCTGGCTGGGCTCGGTCTGCCCACTGGCCGGGAGTCTTTCCTACTCCTTGGCCAGTGGCCAGGGCCCCTGGGTGGGGGGATGCCCCAGCTGGGCAGGCTCCCATGGCTTCTCCCACAGGGTCCGTGATGGAGCTGGGTTCAGGAATAAGCAAAGGCTCAGGGAGGTCAGCTGACTTGCCTGGGGCCCGTAGCTACGGAACTCCTATCTTCGGACCCCTAGGCCAAGGTTCTTCCCCACTGTGCAGGCACCGAGAGTGGCACTGGCTCAGGCAGGTGACAGGTTCTTATCTCTCTGGGCAGGTCTGGCGACAGCCTTCAAGGTCGCCACGCCGTATTCCTTGTATGTGTGTCCGGAGGGGCAGAACGTCACCCTCACCTGCAGGATCTTGGGCTCCACAGCCAAAGGGCACGACGTGGCCTTCTATAAGACATGGTTTCGCAGCCTGCGGGGCGAGGTGCAGGTTTGTTCCAGTCGGCGGCCTATCCGCAACCTCACGTTCCAGAACCTTCACCTGCACCACGGCAGCCACCAGACCGCCAACACCAGCCAGGATCTGGTCCGCCACCACGGTTTAGAGTCGATCTCCGACCACCATGGTAACTTCTCCATCACCATGCTTAACCTGACCCTAGTGGACAGCGGCCTCTACTGCTGCCTCGTGGTGGAGATCAAGCACCACCACTCGGAGCAGAGGGTCCACGGTGCCATGGAGCTGCAGGTGCAGAGAGGTGAGGACTTTCTATGCGGGACACGGGGTGGGGGAGGGGCGGCGTCCTGTGGGGACGGTATGTGTGCTTCTCCGGAAGGGTGAGCGGAGAGGACAGTGTGACTGTGGGGGTGTGGTGCTGTGTCTGGCGGGGCGACTGAGTAATACTGTGCTGAATGGCATGTGATTCTGTAGGAGTGGCAGTGGCAGTCTGGGGCGGGGTGTGAGACCAGGTGGCCGCGGCACGTGGGGCTGTGTATATGTACCTCTCTCTCGTGTGGCGGAGAGGGAGGGTGTATGTGGCTCTGTCTGTGGTGGCAGGACTTTTTTGTGGAACAGTGTGCATGACCTGGGCTGGGAGTGTGACTGCTCACAACTGCACCACAGCCAGGGGTGTGGGTTTGTGCACAGTCGAATGGCTGTTGGGGAGTGTGGGTAATGTGCGTGTCTTTCTCCAGGTGAGAGGGCAAGGGGCAGTGGGTGGGACAGGGGTGCCGGAGAGGGCAGGTGTCCCCATGCTCCTGGGCTGGTGGGGCATGCCCAGCCGTCCGGGGAGAATCTGCCTGTGTGTGTGTGTGTGTGTGTGTGTGTGCTCGTGTGGTTCCGCCTGGCCACCGCTCAAGGCAGGTAGCAGCATGAGTAGCTGGGGCAGGAGAGGGGGACACCGGCCTGGACATGCCTCGTCGGCCTCCGGGGCCCCACACCCACCTAATGACCCTCCTCCTTGCTCCCACAGGTGAAGAGGCGCCATCCAAGTGCATCGCATACCCCGCCTCCCCCAGGGAGAGTGAAAGTAAGGGACCGTCCTCTTGGTCCTTCTGGGTTTTCTGTTCTCCTCTGTCCTCCCAGACCAAGACCCTGTCCTAAACTCTGACCTCATCACCCCGAGCCCATGGAATCCCCACTCCTCCTCCTCTGCTTTTGTTTCCTTCTTCACCTGAGCCTTTGGGACGCAGCCCCCAGAAGCCTACTCCCCTCCCATCGCCCAAACCCTTGGGCGCAGAGTTCCAGGTCCTGACTCCCTGGTTGAGCCTGTATCCTGGCAATGACCTTTGGCCAAATGCCCTCATGACAGGTACTAGGTGTCACAGGCTGCTGAGCTTGTTTTCAGTGGCTTCCCTTCCTGCCCACCAGCAGTTTTCTGCCTTTAGGGAAGGTTGGAGGGCTATGGGGGAGGGAGAGGCTCAAGAAGGAGGCAGAATTACCTTTCCTGGAGCTCCCACTGTGTGCCAGGCCCTCTGCTAAATCCTTTCAATCCTGTTCTTAACGGGATTCTGCTAAGAACACTGTGAGGCAGGCATCACCAGCTTTACTCCACATACATGGGAAAAGAGGCCCAGAGAAGAGACTTGATTTGTCCAGATGTGCACAACCAATAATGGCAGCACAGCTGGGACCATGCTCACTGCACCCCTTCCCACCTCAGGGGGTGTGCCGGGCCCTGGTGCTTTCCCAGAGAGGGGCCCTGTGGGGGGAGGGCGCACTGCTCTAGGGGCACGTGGACACTTGGAGGACCAGTGTGGACCAGCCACTGCCCAGGCCCTAGAGACACAGAAGTGCAGGCCACCTCTCTGCCCTCTGGGAACACATGGCCAAAGACAGGGGCAGGAGCAGGGACAGCTCAACTGCAGCCTCCGCTAAGCCCCAACTCAAAGGCTGCCGTGACCTTCTACTCAGACCGTTCATTTTAAAAAGACTAGCCAGGAACAAAATTAGAACACCCGTGTTGATCCGAGACAGACCCACACGGACTGCAGAAACTCTTTGGTTCAATCCCCTCTCCCTGCACACCGCAGAGCTCACATGTCACTCGACACCAAGCCACTATTGTCCTCACTTCCTCCACCAGCGACTCCCTGGTGAGGGTGGAGAGGGGCCTCTGAGTGGCTCCTTCCTTCCCACGCAGCAGCCTTGAGACTGAGCACAGACGTGCATGCCTGCGTACAGGACCGGGTGTGCTGCTCCCGATGGGACACAGGAGTGCTCACTTCCCCATCGCTCCTTCCACTCTGAGCGGCCTCCCCGTCCCACTTCTTCCTCCAGGAGCTCCTACAGAACTCCCCCAGAGAGAGCCGCTTCCGCCACTCTCCCCATTCCACCGATGGGGAAACCGAGGCTCAGGCAGGTGAAGGGCTGTGCTCCCAGTCTCTCAGACCCAGATCCAGGAGGAGAGATGAGAGTGTTTGATCGCAGAGTGCGAACCTGCCTGAGTGCCGGGCTACCCGCCCCGCAGTCAGCACTGATTTTCTGATATTAATTGTATGAGTTAAGTCTTGGGGACAGGGACAAGAGGTGCTGGGGTGGAGCGGGGGCGATGTTAGACAAAGCAGGTGCAAAATGGAGAGGGGGCTGAAATAGGGTTCATTTTTTTCTGCTCTAGACTCTAGAGAAGCAGCTGCTAGAGTTAAGGAATCAGAAGTCACTTGGGAAATCTTAAGGGACCAGCTGATAAGAGCCAGAGGGTGAGGTAGAACCTTGAACTTGACTGCCAAAAGTGGGTCAGACTTCCTTTGCTGGGCACCTCTGCCCTCAGGTTTTAACACTGCCTTCCTTTCTAATTCATGGGCTGTGGAGCCTCACCCTGACCCCTGTTTCTCTGAGCTACTGTCCAGAGTGAATTGGCTCCCCGAGGGCCAGAGGGCCATGTTTGCTTCTGTTGCAGCTGTTGAGGGAAGGAAGATGGCTTCAAAGACCTCCAGGGTCCCCTTTCAGTCCCCTTCCAAACTCTTGGTTCTGCAGGTCTGGAGACTACAGCTCTGGTGGTGTCTTGGTCCTGTGGCAGGCACTGTCGCAGCTAAGAAGACACCCAGCTATTCTTTGGGGTGGGGTGGGGGGTTCGGACAGTGTGTCCATTCTCTGGGTACCACGCGTGCTGAGATACGGGAGCAAGCGTGTCCCTTCCCCACTATAGGGAGACAAATCGTGTTATCTAAGAAGCTGATTCAAATGCCCACGAGGCCAGGGAGCTGGTGAATGAGGTATTAGGGAGGGGCAGAGACTGTGGCTGGCACCCAGCTGCTAGTCTTGAAGTGCAGTTCCAACTGCTGCATGCCAGGAAGGGGGCTGAGGGTTGCCAGAGCCACTAGAGTTTCAAAGTGACAATTCCAGGTTTTATGTGAACGTTCAGCTTAAAATGTGGAGTTCATTCTAGAGAAAGGCAGTGCAGTGACGTGCATGAAACCCGCCGAGTTGCGTAACCTCTCTGGGCTTTGGGTCCTCATCTGTATAACAGAGATGATTACAACTGTGCTTACTTTTCGCTACAGTGGAGTCCCATATGTAACGTGCTAAGAACCATGCCTGGCACAGAGTAAGTGCCCTGTTGAGTGCTGGCCATTATCACTTCTAGCACAGAATTCTAGGCCTGGCTTCCGAAGTAAACTCACCCAATCCCCTGTGCCAAGGCGAGATGGCAAGGAGATGGCAGCAGACAGCGGACACGTTCTGTTTTCTGTGCATTTAGAAACATTGGCCTGGTGCCCCAGGTGCTCAGTGGGCCTCGGGCTGGCCACTGGGCGCTACGCCCCACGCCTCTTACCTTCGGAAAGGTCCCGGGCCCTGCTCACAGCCAGCCGTGGTACCTGATCAGGTAATGATGCTTCCAGCTAAGAAGCTGTGAGTTTTCCTCCTCTAACGGCGGCCCAGTCTCCTCATGTTATCTTTGGAAAGCAGGAGGGTAGCTAGTCTATGTATGAAATCCTCTGAAAGCCCATGTCAGCCTGAGGTCAGGGGAAGTAACAAGAAAGGAGTGAGACTGAGGAAGTTGGTGCCCCAGGAGCCCCAGATTGCTAGGGGTTGTGGTTTCTCACCGACCCCAGAGAAGGGGGCTGGGTACCCCAGCTCTCCTCCCCTAGAAACAACCTCCCTACCCTTCACCGTAGCAGAATGTTTGGGTTCACTTTTATCCAGCCACCTCCCTGGGGAACCAGGCAGCCCGCCCAAGTTTCTTCTCTGCATATACCCAGGGCCACTGGCAGGCCCAGGAGAAAGACCTCTGAGTGGGCCACATCCTCCCCCCACCCATCGCATCCTGCTCTGAGGGCCCACAGCTGCCTCTTGCCTGTGCCTTATCACCTTCCCAGGATGAGCCTGGCTCTGGATAGCTACTAAGTGGGACTGCCCCCACCCCCAACCCCATCTTCCACCCAAGTACTGGCTATGCTTGTGCGGAGGGGTGGGGAGCTATAGTGGGGGCTAGACTCTGTAGAGGAGCCCATGGATTCAGGGGGCCGTTGAGTCCATGGAACTGTCCCCAAACTTCTGCCCCCCTACCACTCCACCTTCCTGTCTCAGCCTTAACTCTCAGACCAGGCTGTAACCAAGGATTGGTTGTAACCAGGCTGTAACCAAGTCCTGACCCCCCCCCCCCCCCCACCAGAGGGGCTGCAGATGGGTTACCTTTGCCAGGGGACTGGAGTCAGGCAAGGAGATTGGCCAAAATTGAGCCGGAATTAGTGAGCACCTGACTAACCTCATCAAAAGTTCCACCAGCCAGAGGAGACCTGCTTTGAACATTAGAAAAGAGCGCTTTGCAACCTGCTTCTCTGATAGTGCTGCAGGAAGGTCCTGTGGCGGGGTCTAGAAATGCTCAAACGTCTGAATTACAAAATGTTTTTACTTTTGGTGTCCCATGTCAAAATGCAGCCTCCCTGAGATCTGGGGAGAAGCCTGCTTTAACACAAAGTCGGATTTGCTTTGTAATCAGCATAGTCACTGTTCCTGCACCCGTGGGTGCTTGTAAGGTGACTGAAAAACAGTTTGTTCTCTTCTGCGGTGTGAACCAACCCCTGAAAGTTTGTTTATACCATCAGGCTGTTTAGCAACACGACGAGGCAGACACAGCCTGAATAAGTAGTTTGCAAAGGCAACCTGAGACCACAGCCCTTGCGCCTTCTCGAAGCTGACAGGTGTCCGGTGGACACTGTGAGCAGATAGCCTGGCCCATCTTTTGGGAAGGGCTAAAACTGGGAAGGAAATGTGTTTACGCTGGTTGTGGTTCTGAGGGTACGTCTGCTCCCAGTTGAAGTCCCGGAGTCAGCAGACAGACAAAAATAAAGCAAGCCTCTCACGCTGTCGGTGGGAGCAAGCAAGGCACAGCACAACCTTTCTGGAGGGAGATTTAGCAATAGACATCCAGAGAACGCACATACTCTTTGGCTCAGTGCTTTCACTGCTAGGAATTTATACACAGGTGGACTTGCCTGAGTGAGCAAAGGTGCATACACGAGATGTTCATTGCTCTATCATTGGTTGTGTTGAAAAATGGAAGGGACCCGCATGTCCACCACAGGGGGCTGTTTCAGTACGTTTTTGGTGAGTAGAGTGCTGCAGCCTGAGGCAGAGTGAAGCCGATCTCTGTGCCCAAAAGTGTCCAAGCTACGCTCCGTGGGAGAAGTAGTGCCACATGGGAAGCACATCACGCGGATGCTGTAGATGTAGAGAACGTACCTAAACCACACGCAAGAAAACCGTGGTCCCTGGTTACTTCTTTGGAGGAAAATGCTTTAAAATATTTTCTGAGCTGAAACAGTGTTTTTTTGAATTTGGGAAGTTAAAAAAAATTAAATATCAGATAAGGATTCACGTTTTTCTAGTTCTTGTCGCGTGACTGGAAGTATATCTCTTCCTGAGCCTCTGCCCTGGAGCTAAGCTGTCTCTTAGGAGATAAGTGCGGCTCTTTATTAATTTATTCTTATTGTGGTAAAACATAACATGGGCAGTTTTAATCATGTTTCAGTCTATGATTCAGTGGCATTAGTTATGCTCACAAGGTTGTGGAAACATCACCAGTCTGTTTCCAAAAGTTTTTCATCACTTGAGCTCCATTTGACCTTGAACTCTGTGGCCTGGGGTCTGTGTTGGGCCTGCTCTCCTTTCTCAGGGAGCAACCTGTGGCCCAGGGCAGTTGAGCTGTCCCCAGTGGCTGGCTGAAGACCATTCTAGCTCTTCCGGGGAGCTGCCTCCGCTGTAGGCAACTGGCGTCATTTCTGTACCCTTTGGGCCCACTTGGGGAGAAGGCATGGGGCTGCCTTTGAAAGGCGGTGCCTGGAACTGCCGTGCCTCTGCAGGTCACTGAGGGTCTGGTAAGGGCGGGTCCCTCTGGTGCCTGGCCCTCTCTCTCCGGCCTTCATTTCCCCTCAGGAGGAACAGTGGGAACAGGGTCTCACCCTGCTGCCTCTCCGCCCTCGCAGGCATCACGGCTGCCGCCCTGGCTACAGGCGCCTGTATCGTGGGCATCCTTTGCCTTCCCCTCATCCTGCTCCTGGTCTACAAGCAAAGGCAGGTGACCTCCAACCGCCGTGAGTATCCCTACCTTCCTGGGCGGGTGTGGGTGTGAGTGACCTGCCCCAGCTGCCAGCTTGGACCCTGGGATTAGCAAAGGCAAGAGGGAGGCAGAAGCTGCTGCAGGCCCAGCAAGGAGCTGAGCTTGATGGCGGAGAGGAGGGGGCTCAGCTGTGCCATTGCCAGGGCCTGAGTACCCACCAGCCCCAAGCAGTGCTGGCTCAGCACTCAATAAATATCTGTTGACAAATGAGTAATCACAGGGAGCAGTTCAGACTGGTTTATAAAAATGCTGCCACTTGGAGATTTTTGGGGGGACCTGATGTAATGTGTGGGTGGGCTTTTTTTTGTTAGCATAGCAATCTTTGGGACATAAATGACCTTTGGATTATCATGACTGGGAGGGATCTTGGACATAACTTAGTTCAACTCTTTCCTTTTATAGCTGAGAAACCTAAAATCTGCAGGGTTAAATAACTAACCAAATGTTACTTAACTTAGTAAGTAGCAGAGCTAGGACTCAAACTCAGAGCTTTCAGCTCCTGCTTTTTCCAGGGAATATAATCCCACCGTATAAATAAAAATGCTCATTAGCATGAGCGTCAAACAACAACCCCCAACTGGCAAAGCTGCTGTGCCTGGTACCCTACCAAGCTTGTTATATACATTCTCTCACTTAGTCCTCATTGTCCCCATTTTACAGATGAGCAAACTGAGGCACAGAGAGGGTAGTTAAACGACATGCTTAAAGAACCTCACAGCAAGTAAGGGGTAGAGCCAGGCTTCAGGTCAGGGGCACAAACACCTTTGCACACTCCTCTGCGGGTGATATTGCCCTTTGCTCTTCTTCTGATCCCACACATTAGCCTTGGCCAGTCTGAGTTCCCAGGAGCAGGACCATAGAGATCCTTCCCCCAACCCCATGACCCTTGCAGCGCCCCCCACCCCACCTCTTTCCCTCTGCTCTGCTGTGGAAGGGAACTCAGGGAGAGGTCCTCTGTCACCAGGTGGCTTTGGCTCACACCCGACTTCCTTTGGCTGGACCAGGACAGCTCACACCCCTCTCTCCTGGGGGCCCAACATGGAGCTGCACAGTGGGGCCCTTAGGGGCTGTGGCCGCCTCTCCCTTACTCTTAGGACATCCCCATCTCACCACACACACCACAACCCACCTACAAAACACCCTGAGGTGGGGGTGGGGGCAGGTAAAGTGGTTGGAGCAGAAAGAGGAAGCCGGGGCTCAGCCAGGAAGAGAAATCTCAGCAGCGCTGCCATGGGCTCATCGTGTAGCGTTTCTGCGAAGGTGGGTGAAGGACAAGGAGGGAGATGTGCCCTGCAAGGCTCAGCTCCAGATGAACAGGTGACCCTGGCGCCCTTCCTCCCGACCACAGCGCTGCCTCCATCAGGGAACAGGAACTGGGAAGCATTCCAGGCAGAGGATGTGGGAGGAGACGCTGCTGTTCCTGCTTTTGTTGCCCCACAGGGTCCCCAGAGGTTGATCTGAGATTCCTGCCCTGTGTTCCAGGCTGGAGGAAGGAAAATCAGAGAGGGGGCGTCCCCAGGCCAGGACACTGGGGGACAGGGGGTGGGGATATGTCCTGAGGATATGAGGAAACTGGGGTCAGCCCCCAGTACCTCCTACTCCGGGCATTGGGACACCTCTGAGGGCTTCTCACATAAAGGGGCCGGGAAGGGACAGATGAAGTGGATGCTGAAGGACTGGGCGGAAAGAGGGAGCAAGGGGGCCGACTGGGCCCACACTGTCCCTGATGCTGAGCACAGCCTCTGAAACTCCAAACGGGCCGTTTCCATAGTGGGCGGCCCCTTCATAGCATCATATCTCTGGATTTAATACATACATATGTTAAAAGTATTTCTAAAGCCAGTCCCCCCACCCTTTCTAAAAAAAGAAAAGAAGAGAAAAGAAACGAGTTGTATGAAATCTTTGGAGACAGACACAAGAGATGCCAGCGGGGACCAGGCTAGACATGCCAGGTGCAAAATGGAGAGGGAGCGGCAATTTGGGCCATTTTTCTTGATCTAGACTCCAGAGAAGCAGCTGCTGAAATTAAGGGAACAGAAGTCACCTGGGAAGTGGCAGGAATCAGGCCACAGGACAGAGGCCGAGTGGCTTGGAGCCTGGTGCAGAGGGTGCGCTTGGGAGGGAGCCCCGCGGGGACGAAGGGGAGAGAAAGGGTTGGGAGCACCGAGGGGGGCGGTGCGCTGCAGGGGCCCGTGGGTCTGGACACCCATCTGCCAGGAGACAGAGCTGGTTTCCCCAGCTCTCAGGTGGGGCTGCCAACCCTCACCCCAGAGGGACTTTAGGGAACCCACATGAACCCCGAAGCACAAGAGCCCCTGCTGAACGGGGGCCATGGTTCCACCACCACAGAGATTTGGGGAACTCTGTGCAACTTCTCTGCGTGTTCCATTGCCGTGCCCCTCCCCCACCATCTGTTTCCCCATAGTGCTCGGCAGGAAAGCTCTTAAAAACGAGAAGGATCTGAGTACAGGGGGAGCTGCAAGAAAGAGGGAAGTTGGAGCCACTGCATTTGGTTGGTGTCCAGTTTGGGGGGTGGGGAACCCCACGACTGGGGCAGGGTGGCAGCTGCTCGGAGGAGGAGCAGAAAGTGGTGGGATGGCTGAGAAGCGATGGGGTCTCAGGCTTCCCGAGAATCCTCCAAGAGATGTCACTGCTGAAGCCACCGTATTGTGCAACGTGGAGGATGAGACAGAGGCCCAGGAACCCTCTGAAGAGGAACTGACCTTGCAACACTCCTACCCAGAAATCACGGATAAAGACCAGACTGTAGCAAACGTCCAAATGGGAAATAGCAAATTCAGGAGCTAGGCCTCTGGGTGATACATAAACCCTGAAGGTCTGACACCACCATAGGAGAAATCATGCACTGCCTTTAGTCTCCTGGTGACAAATGTCCTACACACTTGTAAGATGCAGGCTGAGTCTCACTGGCCACTGAGGCCTCGCCTACAAGGTACTGCGTGTAGGCCTTCTGAGTAGATGGGTGTGGGACCTGGGGCTGAGCATGGCCCTGCCTGGGCTGGCTCCCGGTCCCCAAGGGGCATCTGGCAGCAGGGGCGGGGGTGTTGTCTGGGGAAGCCTTCCCTTGGTGACCAGCTTCTCTCTGTCTGTCTGCCTTTAGGTGCCCAGGAGCTGGTGCGGATGGACAGGTAAGGCCTGTGGAGACCTCCCCGAGAAAATGTCCCACAGCTGCCCGTGCCCTGACCAAAAGCTTGGCAGGCTTTCTCCCTTTTTGCCTCCGGGTGCCTGTGGCTCTGTGGGGCAGTGTCTGCACTCCAACTGTGGCAGAAGTTAATGTAGAAGGGGGGAGGCAACTTTTAGCCAGGACAGACTGACACTCCTACATTTATCAGAATCTTTTCCCCTCTCTTCCCTGGTCATGGGTTATACCGGGACAGGGGTCAGCACACAGACACGGCCTCCCCGGCCCTCCCTGGGTCCCCGAGCAGCTTTGAGGAAGGAGATATTCCTGTGCTTCAGAGCCCTGTTTAGCTGCCGAGCACAGCTGGTTAGGAGAGCATCTGCTATCTGCCATGGAGGCCTGCACATCTGTATGTTGGCTGTTCTCTCTGTCACCCCTCACCCAGATGGCTGAGCTCCTACGCTGCTGGGATAAACCATCAACCCACTTTCGGGGCGTAGTGGTCAGTGGGCTGGGGTGGGGAAGGGAGAGGAAGCAGCTGAGCAGGGGCAGACACTGAAACATGCAAAGAGGCCAGCACACCTGGAGCTGCGGCCCCTCCCTGCAGGGCGCTCTGAGGAGAAAGCTGCCAGGCCACTGCCCACACGGGTCGAGGCTGATGGGGCTCAGAGAGGCACAGGAGGTCGGGGATGGAGTGGATGGGGGCATGTGTGCTGGTGTGCCCTGAGCAGAAGCTGGCACTGGAGCCTGGCATGGAGGGCACGCTCAGGAATGCGGGTGTTTGAAAGGCATGATTTTCTAGACAGGTCAAAGAAAGGCCTGCTGTGACCAGCTGGGACCTCAGAGTTAGAGGGGTCTCTAGAGGTTGTCCCACTCCTAAGAGGGAAGAGGGTAAGAAAAGCGCACCCTCCCTTCAGCTCAAGACTCATTGTAGGGACATTCAATCCTAATGCTATTGACTCGACTGACCATAGAGAAACTTGTCCCCAGATTCCTGAGGCCAGTGTCCTGGAAGTGCTTCTGACCCATGGCAGAGGGTCAGAATACAGGGCAGAGCTGGGGTCAGACGCCCTTGGCTTAGGGCGGGTGGGAGAGTGCAGCCCTGGCCTTCTCTCGCTGGCTGGATCCTCCTTCCTGCTGGGAGGGACTGCTGAGGCGGAAGTGGGAAGGCAGGGGATGGGAAGGGAGCAGAGAAGTAGGGCGGCGGGGTGGGCAGAGGCCCTAAACTCAGGCAGCGCAGTGACCTTCGGTTCTGATTCTCTAGCGGCAACGCTCAAGGACTTGACAACCCCGGCTATGAGGCCTCTCCTTCCCCTCACGGGATGCCGGAGGCCAAGCCCAGGCCCCCACTGTCCTACGTGGCCCAGCGGCAGCCTTCTGAGTCTGGGCGGCACCTGCTCTCGGAGCCCAGCACTCCCCTGTCTCCACCAGGCCCTGGGGATGTCTTCTTCCCATCTCTAGGTGAGTGCTTCCCAACACCTGCAGCATTATGGCCTGTTGGCCATGACCTCCCCTCACCTGCATTGTATCATCCCTACTCTGCACCCTCCTTGGGAGATCCTCATAGTCTCCTCATCGACTTCGTGGGGTAAAGGACAAAGGAGTCCCCATTCACTCAGCTTCTCCTTTTTTTTTTGCAGACCCTGTTCCTGACTCCCCAAACTCTGAGGCCATCTAGACCACCTGGTCTAGAGTGGGCAGCTGTGGCTGGACCCGGGGCAGGTGCATTTGGGCCAGGCTGGCCCTCTGAGTGGTCCTTTGGCCTCGGGCCTGGTTTCCTTCCTTCTTCTCTGAGCCCGGACTCTTTGAGATACCCCTGATGGCCAGATTCTTAAACCCTCTGGATGCTACGTGGCAGAAAGGAGAAGGCCAGCCCCCATCTGAAGAATGGTGGCGTGCTGGGATCCCAGCCCAGAGACCGGAAATCTGCCAGCTACAGATGCCAAATGGCCTGCGTCTGAAAAGCCCCAGAATTTCCAGCTGCGGGGCAGCCTCTCTGAGACATGAGCTTTGGGACTTGACAAAACAGATGGGACAAGATGGGCACTGAGCAGACCCCCACCCGCAGTGCCACCCTCCCCAGCGTGAGACGCAGGATGAGGTGTGGAGAGATTCTCCTCCACTGTGTTGGGCCAGCTCCCCCCCTCTCCTGAGGCTGTTCATCTGTCAGACTCGCTCTTTGTAACCATGGGGCTCTGGGGCTGGGCCTGCCTGTCCCTGGGCTACGGGAGCCCCCCACCCAGTGCAACTGCCTCCTACCAGTTACCTCTCCTTGGGGCTGCTGGCAGGCTAATCACATCTGAGGCTTCCACGGCCTGCACTCTGATCTCCAGAGTCCACTGGCCAGAGGCCCCCAAATGGGAAGTACACATTGGAGCACGGTGGCCATTGTGAGCCAACTGGCATCTTGGGCAATGGAGACCAGGCCACAGGTTGCACACCCACCCCAGATGGGGGTGAGGGAGAGCCCAGGGGCCTGCTGGGAAGGTGAGTGGAGACGGTTCCACTTCCTCTGCCTCCCCTGTGGCCCTCCTCCACTGCTCAGTGTGGCCAAGAGAGTGACCGCATAATGTATTGTACAAACTGTGACACTTGAGAGTGAAGAGGGGGTGCTATTAAAAAGTACATGGGCGACAGGTGCAAACCCTGTGGACGGATTGTTAAGAGCTGGGTTGAAATCCCTGCTCTGCTCCTGAGGTGCCTGTGACCCAGCGAGCCTGCCCTGCGTTGATCTTCTGTTCCATTCAGTCTGCTGAGTGCTCGCTGCAGAGCGACCCTGGCAGGCGGGAGGAGCAGGACACAGCCACAGAAGGGTTTGTGGCTGCTCTGCTCTGCACCCTCTGTTCCCACCTCCTGCTTCAGGGCATTACTCAAGTTTGTTTTTACACACATATGCAGGGAAGTCCTTTGTGGAATTTTATTAAAGGGCTATAAAGCATGAGAGGAGTTGGGGGGTGTCTTTGTACTCTGGAAATGGGGAAGGCGGGGCCTCAAAGGGGGAGGGTGGGAGCTGGGTGGGAGCCGGGGCACTGACTGCAGGGGGCCCAGCTTCAGTTGGGCATTTGTCTGCCAGCCCCTGCACTGACTCTACTGAGCTGGGCCTGGGTGTGGAGAGCCAGGAGTTCAGGCAGGGAGAAGCCACCCAGATCAGCTGTCGGGGGCGGAAGAGAGGAGCAGCTCCGGGCCTGTGGCCAGAATCGGACAGCTCCCTGGAGGCGTGGCAGTGCTTCTAAAGCTCCCCTATCAGGCCCAAGGCCATGGGTCAATGTGAACACCCTGCTGTGCCTGGGGCCCTTGAGGAGAGGGTGAGCATGGGCCTCAAGACCAAACTGTTACCTCTAGTGGCCAGAATACCAAAGGCCAGGCTCCTCCCTGCTCTGTGCCCTCTTCCTCTCCATCTGCTGCCATGAACACTCAATGCCAGTTGCCACAGAAAGAGGGTGCTGTTTTCACACCTCACGGGGGCTCATAGGACCAGGACTGGCAGGGCGACACGTGCTCGAGGCAGGGCCGGGCTACCCCTAGAGCTGGACAAACCCCTTGCTCCCCCACTTCTAAGGAGTGTTCTTGCCCTTTGGGGATGCTGGCCTGGCCCAGCCCTCAGCTCACGACCTGGAGGCAGAGGTAACTTCTAAGAGCTTGGCTGCCAGGGCCCAGGCCTGCCAGCTGCCTGTGTAGAGGGAGGGAGGGGGCCCCAGAGCAGAAAGCCACCACACTTCCTCCCTAGCTTCCTCCTGCATGGCCTCGAGCCCTTCTTCTCTCGACCCTCACATGTAAGCATCTCAGCTTCGTGGTTTCCTGTTTTCAGTGAAATTTATTCTGAGCTCCAGGCTCCATCTGCATCCATGACCACACGCCCCACCCCCAGCGGCCCTAAAGGCCCACCCCCTGCTGCTGCCAGGGCAGGGTGGACACTAGAATAAAGGCCACGCACCCCGCGTTCACCCTTGGGGTGGTGGTACCTCTGCAGACGCCAACCCTGGTGCTGGTGCCTGCCTCCAAGGGAGCTGGGAGGTCCCCGGGGAGGAGCCTCGGGCCTCCAGGAAGTCGGCTGCAGGGTGGGACGCAGACAGGAGGCCTCTGCGTCCTGGCACCGCCTGACGCCCTAGAAGGAAACCTGTGCTTTTAGGCAGTAAGTCCTTGTTAAGAGACGTACCAGAAATTGTGGGGCCTGTAGCCCATCTCCCAATGTTCACATTTAGTGAAGCTCTTCTGCCTCTATTCTCCCCAAGGGAATGGAATTGACACTCTTTGAAAATATGCCCCAGGGGCCACTGGAGATTCTGCTTTTGGGTCAGGCTGGCCCAGCTAGGGTGTCTGTGGTGACAGGCACTGGGGTAAATGTGCAGGCCACAGGGCCTGCTTCTCAAAAGACTGGCACTGGGTTGCTCTCATTCCTGGTGCAGAGAGGCATTGCCTCCTTTAGGGAGCAGTCTGTGGTGGCGGGGCTTCGGGGGATGCAGTGGGGCTGGTGGCCACGGAAGTCCTGTCACCCTCCCTCCCAGGGTGGGCACTGTAGCCCTGCCTTCTGGAAGAAGCCTTGCTGGGTGTCAGCTCGAGCACTGCAGGGCCGGGCTGAATGTGCTGAGGCCCGGCTACGATTTGCTCGGGGAGCCAAAAGGGAACGGTAATGGTCAGAAAGAGGAACTGGGGCCGTCAGCCAGGACGCTGGATGCAAAGGCCTCCGGAGAAGCAGACGCTCACAGCCCGGCTGAGCGTCTGTCCCAGCCCACAGAGAGCACGCACTGTCTAGCCCCTGTGTCTGTACCCACTTTGCATCATCACCTTTCTGTCCTGCATGGATGCCTTGGGTTAGGGTTAGGGTGAAGGTGTGAGATCCAGGAGGGTGGCCATCCAATAACAGCCTGCGCTTTGAACTCGGGCATAGAGCTGATCACTGAAGCGTAGCCCCTGTGTGCCGGGCTCAGCCGGGGTGTCAGAGTTCTGTTCTCTAGACCGCTCATGATTGGCAGGGACCTCTGGTTCCACTGGCTCTCGTTCTGGCACTTTGTCTGGACCCACAGGAATCTCCTCCACTGCAATCACTCCCTGAGCTTGTGCAGGCCCAGGGGCAGAGGTCTCACTTTGTTTTGCAGTTCTGATCTATTGGCATGGCATCCTCAAATATACATCGAGGGGGACCCTGAAGTATCAATACAGCTTAATGAGCAAGTGCTGACGCTGGATAGCAATGTCTGTCTTGGGCTCAGGGTAGAGAAGGGGCAGTGTGCATGCCGTATCTTTGCCCTTTGTTTTTATACTCTGTGCTTTCTCAAAAACACGTTCACGTGTGTTATTACTTCTTTGATTTCCCCCTTGCCTACCAGAAATCCTTGAGAGGCTTTGTTCTCTCCATTTAATGCATCAGAAAATTGAGGTTTCAAAAGGTTTGTGTCTTGTCACATGTGAATGAGGAACTGGGGCTAAAGCCTGGGTGTTCTGCTTCCCAGGCTTGTGCTCCTTCCTCTTCACTGCACTGAATGGTACTACAGGGCAGGACTTGGACTTGCTTATAGCATGTACCGGGGCACCGGGAGCGGGGCCTGTGCCCATGTACCCATGGCTCCACACCTTCCCCGTCGGTTCCTGCTGCTCCCCTTTCTGCCTGGCAGCCCTGAAGCTGTAGGGCTCCTGGTAGGTGCGGTGACCCATGCACTCCACTTGCTTGCAGCAGCGGGTGGGGAGGGAGAAACTCCCAGCTCCCTGCAGGGCCCCGTGTCTCTTGGAGGAACTGAGCCAGTGGCACGTGCAGCAGTAGAGAGGCTGCAGAACATCCCTCAAGGAGCTGAGCTAAGGAAGGGTCTGAAATTCATCATTATGGCCCTGGCTGGCGTGGCTCAGTGGATTGAGTGCCGTCCTGTGAACGGCGCTGGTTTAATTCCCAGTCAGGGCACATGCCTGGACTGTGGGCCAGGTCCCCAGTTGGGGGTGTGTGAGAGACAACCAATCCATGTTTCTCTCACACATCAATGTTTTTCTCCCACTATCTCCCTCCCTTTCCCTCTCTTTAAAAAAAAATAAATCGTAGAGGGCCAGAGAAGGCCTGCCTACTTGATGTACAGCACAGGGAAGAGCCCCGGCTGGGTTTCCTGAGCTTGAGCAAGGGGAAGCGGGCTTCCTAAACAGCAGCAGGGTCCAAGTTTAATGAACAGGAGAGCCCTTAGCCTAAATACACAAGGTGAGCTGCCCAGAGCAGTGTCCCCAGCTCTCATGGGGCTATTGCTGGCAATTCCTGAACCGGAAGTAGGTAGATTTTTCTGTCCTGCTTGGATAGGTGACTTCTGCAGATCCCCGCCAACGTATAAAGCTAGGGCTGGAATTGTTGCTGGGATTTTCTAACTGGCTGGCTGTGATTTGCGTGGCAGAAAGGCCCAGCCAGGCCCTCCCTCTCCCCGTCCCCCTGCCAAGGTGCCTCTGTGGTTGGGGCTTAGCTCGTGACCTCACAGTTGCCTTCCGTCCTTCCTCCCTGGGCCCGGCCCTTCCTTTTGCATGGGCCTCCCTGACGGCCACTTGGACCTCTCCCCTGGGGCTGGCCTCCTTGCCTGCGGCCTGCAGCTCGCCCGAGGACTGAGGCTGAACACTGACTTCCCCTGGCCGGGTGGCATGCCACGGTGCGACAGGCCTGGGCTGGCCCAGAGGCCCCTTGCTCTGGGTGATATGGGGCTGAGAGCTGGGTGGGGATGGCCTGGGCTGTTCTCGGGAATGTCTGGCTCTCAGGAAGCTGGAGGGTGGAGGGCCCAGGAGGAAAAGAAAAATGTGAGGGCTCAGATAAAGGGTTTCTCTTGGATTTGAGGAAGCCTTTGGTGGCCAAATCCAAGCCCCCTGCCCAGGGAGCCCCATCCGTTACAGCATGGACGCAGATGGTGCCGTGCCCAGAAAACCTCCCCTGGCTCCTGGCTGTGAACCCTCAGCACTCTGTCACATCACAGATTGTCAGCTCTGTTGGTGTCAATCCCCCCACTGGACTGCGGGCTCCTTGAGGGCAGAACCGTGCCCAACTCACCTCTGACTTCTCAGCATCTAGCACAGGCCTGGCACGTATTTGGTGTTGAATGAATGAGTGAATAAATGAATGAATGACTTACTTGCCCCTGTCCTACAGGAAGGGTGGTCCTGAGCCAGTGAGAGCTGGCTCGAACCAGGCAGGTAATTGCCGGTGGAAACAGGAGGATGGTGTTTGGGTCGGATGGGTGTCCCTGACAGATATGCGCAGGGTGGCACCCACCCTCCTCACCCTGGGTTAGACCATGGGGACCTTTCCCAGGACCTCAGCATAGCCGGTCTGATGCTGCTTAGGCTCCGGCTGGTCGGGGAGGGTTTGGGCTGATCTACTGCTTCAAATACCCATGCAGTGAATCTGACCAATGCCAGAAAAGAACACCCCTTGGCATTCATGGCCCTGGTGGGGGTGGCAGTTCGCTATCCAGAGGTGAGAGTCTGGTCAGTGGAGGAAAATCTTCAAGCATTTGCTGTGGAGGCAAATGCCAGTCCTACTGGGCACTGGCTATAGAGCCCTGGCTTAGTGGGGCCAGCAGAGCGTGGAGGGGGCACTGGAGAAACTAGTAGGACCAGCCCTTGGGGTACGCCCCAGACGGAATGCTGTGGGGAGGCTAGGTAGAGGGGGAGCTCTGCTCTCGGCTCCGAAGGCTGCCATGGGCCTGGGC